TATTTTTCCAAAAAAAAGCAACAAATTCAAATGCACAATCCCAATTTTAAACACTTCCACGAAAAATAATTGAATTAGTGGATTAATACATGTAATGTTTAGGGTTTAGGGTTTTGAATTTTTCTTTTATAACTTAACAATCACATAAATAGTAAATATATAAAAACAAAATAGTAAATTAAGAGTTTCTTTTTCTGGTATATTTGGTATATTTTTAAATGTTTAGGGTATAGGGTTATAATAGGTCTTTTTTGTTACTAATAATTATATAGAAGATTGATAATATTAAAGATACATCTAACTTAATTACCAATAACAAAAAAAATTATATTTTGATAATAGTGTTGTTTACACAATAATGATATTAGTGTACATGTGTTTTCATACATAACATATAGGGTTTTTCATAATTTTATTTTCAAATCTCTAAAACGTTCCAAATATTTTTAAATAAATACTGAAAAATCTCTAAAGTTGTAAATAACTAAAAAACGAATTAAGTAACCAACAATTATTTTTTTTAAGTATTTATAAATACAATAATCGTATGAAAATCACATTGTTATATCTTCATCAAAAATAGCCAATAACAAGGTTTCACTCGGATAGCCGACGTGGCCAAATCTCAGCCTTTAATCATGCCATCTAAAACAGATGTTTAAGCTTTTAGAAACGGAGCCAATGATGTTATATCCCTCGGATACATGACGTGGCGACATCGTAGCCTTTCATCAGCCTGTTTCATCTATTTATTCTTAGGTGAGAGTAAACTTAATTCCTTTCTTTTCAGACTCTTCGACCGGGGAGGAAAACCTTTCTCGAAGAAGCTAGAGACGCAGATTAGGTTATCAAGTTTTTTGGTTCTTCCACCCTTGTCTCGAAGGATCTAGAGATAGTTTCCATCCTCCTCACATCCGTTGGCCGAGTCAACTCCTCTTTTGTCTCCGACAGACATCGAGAAATTTAAAGAGAGTTCCTCTCAGTTCTCTGTTGTCATAGATATGTACCCAAAGCTCATCGACAAGGTTGTACTCTCACCCACTTCCTCTATTTACATATCTCGGTTTATCATCCTTAAAAAAAGATTTTCTTTGTTCTTCCAGGTACACGATTATGTGCAGAGATATATGCTTCCTTCTCAACGAGTTAATGTACGGTTAATTTTCAGACAAATAATGCAACTTCTATTCATTTTGCGTTAGATTATTTATTGGTTTGTTAGTTTGCGTTAGAATATTCATGGGATTATGTGGCTACAGATTCTGTTGTTTCGGGTGACTCTCTCTTATGGGTTTGAATCAATAGGGATTTCTTTACAATTTGTGTACAAGTTCTTTTTTGCTATGTCAGTGGATTAGATGAATTGATTTTTGTAACAAGGTTCCATATATTGTTGGAAACATGGTATTAACTACGAGAACACCCTTCTCCCTGTTTGGAAATAGGTATTATCTCGTCCCCCACGTCTTGACCCTTGCTTGATTTCCTGTATTATGTGTTGCTTCATAGAACACTTGTCTTTCTTTATCATATTGGACAGTGTGATGATGAGCTAACCGTTCTGGACCTCCTCTATACATGCTTAACTTCAATCATGATGTAAATTACTGGTTTTCTTTTTGTCTACTTAATTTGTCATTCAAACCAAACAAGTACAACTTTAAAGGCATGTTCATCTATTGACATCAAAATCTTTACTTTCTTGCAGAAAAAGATGATTACGTTTATTCATAGAAGTTTCACACCTGGAACAACAACACTGCCATATTAATTCAGAAATCATGGACATAATGTTGACAAAAAAAAATAAAATGTTTAAGCTTATGTACTATATCTTTGTAAATTATCACATGTTGTAAACACACTTTTAATATCAATAGATGTCACATTTTATTATTAAATTTGTATGGGAGAATTTATTATAAATATTGTACATAAATACTTGTATATTATAAATTAAATGAATATGGTATAAAATACAAATGTACGCATACACAAAAACATACGTAATACAAAATGCTATAAAATTATTGCTAATCGTGAAAGCTATCTGTATACAAATCCAACTACACATATTGTACGCTATTGTAAAAACCA